TAGATATTTCTTTTTCAACATTTAATAAGTATACAAATAAGGATTCATTCGAATTTGCAAATAAGGCCAATAATTTCCAGTTGCCTCCAGGTTTCGTCCTGGTATCTTTTGACGTTGTCTCCTTGTTTGCCAACATTCCACTTGAATTAGTTATTTCAATAATGGAACAGCATTTTCACCTAATAGAAAGTTTTGTAGTTTACCCAAGACCGTATTCTTAGATATAATAAAGTACCTGTACAACAGTACCTATTTCTCTTCTGAAGGAAAATTTTGTCACCAAACCAAGGGACTCCCCATGGGTGGTGCAGTGGTGCAGTTTCTCCAGTAATAACAGAGATTGTCTTGAATAGTTTGCTTGATTTTGTAACTAATAACGTTAACCTCACATTCCTTTCATTTTTCAATACGCAGATGACCTATTGACGGCAGTACCAAAAAATCAAATTAAAACGGTACTGGATATCCTTAACTCATTTAATGGCAGTCTAATTTTCAAGGTGGAGGATGAGCCCGACTGTGGGGTCCCCTTCCTAGATACAAAGGCAATTAGAACGCCAGATAACGTCGTACTGTTGGAGTGGTACCAAAAAAAGTCTAGTTCAGAGAGGTTTATCCCATTTACGTTATATCATCCTATTAAACAAAAAAATAACACAGTGTTAGCATTAAAGAATAGAATCTTGAGAATTTGCCATCCTACGTTAAAAGAGAAAACCTACTACGACTGAAATATATCCTAATCTCGAATCAATACCCCTAGATCTCTCATTAAAAAAATTCTTTTTTGTGAAGACGATCCCACTAGACCTAACAATCATCAATCTGACAATAATATCTCAGCTACGCAACAACAACAAAAACATTTTAAATTAGAATACATTGAAAATCTGACTCCGTTGTGTAGACTACTTAATAAATATAATATTATTATTGCAAATTATAATGTTAATAAGCTTAACCTTTTCTATACTAAACTAAAAGACAAAAATCCATTTTTTTAAAAATCGGATGTTGTCTATGGCCTACCAGTGTGGCCTCATATATGTATGATAAACGTCCCAAAAAGTTTCAAAAAGGGTTGCAGGCCATAGAAGTGACTGCAAAAACAGACCTAACTCAACGAGTTTGAGCGAACACGGGAATCAGACGGAACACAAGGTTTCCTACGATGAGGTTTCTGTTCTGAACGTAGAGTCTAGTTTATTCAAGCATAAATTCCTTGAAATGTGTTATATTTATAACTGTGACAACAGCTAAATTTAAAAAAAAGATGTAGAGGGGTTGAGCGTTATTTACATTTATTTACTTAGTCAAAATATTACAAAAAAGAACAAATTACCATCTTTTTATAAAACAAAAGTGTAGTGTTATTGTTGAATTTTGCCAGTCACTTTTTATTACTCCTTATGTAACTATAATGTAAGTCGAATTCCATGCGTAGTGATTTCAATTGTTTCAGGTTGGTAGTGCGATAGGTAGCATTTAATTACTAATCGTTATCCCCTCTACTCATAAGTCATTCTTGTTGTTAACATGCGTTGATATTTTAAAGAAACATACACTTTTTTGAATCTGTGATCATCCCCTTTTGGGTTATTATTGTGTTAATTTACAATGTAATGTTGCCTGTTTTTTAGTTTAAACTAATCTTGAACGTGTGTATTTTTAAATGATAAAGAAAAATTTTAATGTTGACAATAACATGTCGGCAACGTGCTTTTGGATTGATAATTTAGAGTTTAAATTAACTGCACATTCTGTAAGTACTAATAGATTTATAACTTGAATATTAAAATAGTTTCGCGGTCTTTTTTTTTCTCGTGCTTCCTGATGAAGCCTACAATTCTGGGCGAAAGCTTGAAGCATAAGAATAAAGGCTAGTTGTGAAACAGAGCACTTAAGATTGCTTAACTCTAACCTTTCAAGAAAAAGGGGTATCCCAGTGTTACGTGGTTGACTTGCTTATATATATAAATTTATGGAATACCACAACTTAATATAAGAATTACATGGTAGAAACAATACTGTATTGAAATTTTAATGAAATTATTAGTCTCCAGGTATTGTTTTTTGTGTGAATGGATTGTCGGAAACGATTTCCTAAAGCTTAAATTTTAATAGTGAAATTAACGAACACAACCGCCCGCAGCCTGTATGTCTGTGGAAAGTCGTCCGCTGTTGACTCGTAACGCGTTTATTCGGGGGTTGATGCCACCGCCATGCAGACAGTCGATAATTGTTTTCGTAAATCTCAATAAAAATATTAGTCATATATTGTACATGGCAGACAGGGGAATTATGGGTGTACAGTTAAAATATTTTGCCATCTCCAGCAAATTACTGTTTTTTGATAAAAAATATTTATCGAAAAAGCACACATCCGCTTTAATTTAGTTTAATACATTCGGTTTACCAGATGATTGCGTATCGACAACCGGCTATAGCCAACTCCATTAAACCGTAGTAATCGCAACTCAAGTTTCTTTTTTGTCCTTAGGTATGGCAGCTAGTAGCATGGGTCAATCGATGGCGTCTTATTATAACCCCTCTGCTGCGTACGGTTCTCTAAGCGCAGCATCGATGGCGGCCGCTGCTGCAGCTGCTCAGCAATCTGCGGCTGCCATGTCTGCTGGACTGACAGCACCTGGACAGGTACGAATCCTTCTAATATTAGGTAACACAAAACGAAGGAAAGAAAAAGTCCTTTTGGAGTGAAAACTAGTTAATGAATATTTTAACAAGCACCAAAATGGTAGATCTAACAATTAGTTAATGTCAAAAAATAGTTTACACATTATCGTTAATAAAGTAAATTTTAAAAAACTTGACCCAGATGTTTACGCATGCTGCAGCGTTTGATCTTCGCACGGTCACACTGTAATCATGTGTCATTGGACCTACAGCGCATCAAGCTCAGACCTCATTATTATTTAAAGTCAAAACTGGCAATTTATTATTATAAAGGTCCCAATTCGCAGCGGCCTTAACAAAACTAGTCACCAAGAAACGTAACAGTTACGCATGCGTTTGTTTAAATCATTAAGACCGTATTGTTCGTGATGATATATTGTCCATTTTGTCCCTGCAAGGTGCTGCTCCTAGCGGCCACAAAGGCAGATATAACATATTACACCGGTTCTTTGTCGTTATGTATAGCGACGCGTGGAATGTCCTATCTCGCAAGTCACACTCTCTTTTGGCCTAACCCTAACGTTTTTGCTGTGGCATCGTAAATCTCTTTGGCCTATTGCGAAAGTCTTTTAGGCTGTTTAACCAAACAGGTGAATATAAATAGACCAGGAGATCGTGACGCTCCTAAGATTTTCTATTATTATCATTAAAAAAATTGTTATTCTTAACTTAAGGTATCCTGAAAACTTGGCCAAAGTTTTATCAGTATTACAATTACCGATTCTTCCTTATAACTCAGCAAGATGACATCCTACTATTATTTTGATCCCTATGCTGTAAACTAATTCTGCACTATGACTTGGCAATTTTAACCCTGTCCTTCCGGCTGTTTTGAGCATGAACGATATCGAAATTGATGTCCTTTTAGCCGTCAAGCTAAGATATATAGTTCTCAGTTTCCGCCGTAAGCTTCCAGGCTCCCGAGACAAAGATAGAAAGAAGTACAGGGAACCGAATAAATCGCATTAATGCCTAAAATTGTTATTCCTTTACACCGCATGGAGACAGAAGTCTAGTTTGCGGATTGTAACGGGTATCCATAGCATAACTAATGGAGTGTGAGAATACGCGCACGTTTTACACAATTTCTAACTGGTAAAAACGCCTCATCACCCTCCGCGCTGGTCAATCCTCAAATTTGAAAGCGCAGACGAATGTGAAGTACCAGGTGTTACTTTAATGAAAATATAAATCTTAAAAGGTTTTCGGAACGATTTGCATTATGCCTATCCATTGGTCAGTTAAAATAAATTATAACTGTGATGTTATAATTTACGTGCTACTCAAATTTTGCCTATTCTACTTGTTTTTAAAATAAAATAGTTGGAAGTTTATGGCTTCATTTCCATTTGTTTATTAAACCTAAATGACAGCATTTTTTCTTCCAAACGAAACGAAAATAGTTAAATGCAACATCAAAAGCTCTTTTATTTTTATATTTATTAAATCGTCATTTTTCGTAATATTTCAGTACAATTCCACTGGTTACTAATTTACTTTGTATTAGATTTGATTTAATTAAATCATTTCGACCTGACATTTATTAGGCATGATTGAAATCTTAATTAATTTATCATTTAATTTATATTCCTCTTATTTTGAATTTAGATTGTTGCCTTTCCAAAAAAAGACAAAAATTACATTATATTATATATTATAATATAATGTAATTTATATATATATATATATATATATATTCTCACGTATTGATTCACGGATGGAAAAATGTGATGACACTATATTCCGGGATATCATCCGTTCGCTCGTTGAACTCCGACTGGAATCCTGCATCCGACTGGAATCCTGCAAATCCTGCATCCGACTGGAATCCTGCAGACGTTTCGCCAAAATCTCACTTGGCATCTTAAATGCTCGCGCTCCGAAAAGTGTGCGAATTTCGTTGCATTATATCAGCATGCGAATGTGTTTCGAGTTCTTCTTTCTTTAAATCATTTGTAATTAATATTCACTCTCTGCACTGTTGTAACGACTGTTGTCCGTGTGCGAATAATAAAAACAGATCACAAAACTCGAACATGGCGATAAAGCGATCGAAGAACAACTTCTGTGTTTGCCAACCGCCAAATAAAGTATCAGAATTTATTTATCAACATTGGGAATTAATTAGATCGCTGACAATAAATTTATTACGGGGGATTAAGGAGACGCGTATTTGAATAAATACGAAATGGTAATACTCGACGCAGCGTGTGTTTGACAACTTACTTATTACGGTGAAATTATTACGAGATGGTCTATAAATTAAGTGCTAATGCCGTGAAAAATTGACCTTATTTGAATTTTCGAGTGTGGAACTAAAAGAAACTGTCCCGCCAAATGGTCAGGATCGCTTGTCGCTTTTACTAGACGATATTATTCACTTAGTTATGTATTTCATGTAAAATATCTATCAACGAAGGTGTATTGAACAATAAATATATCCAATATGGTTGATTTTCTATTGAATGAATGAATAAATGATTTTTTTCTACTCCCTCCTGTAAAATACCCAATTATACACCGACCTAGCATGTGGAAAGTGTCTTTTACCACGTCAGTTTCATTTCTCACTGATCCGAGCCACTTCAGACATTACGGGTTTGGGAGCAATCGGATGTTTTCGGCTTGAATTTTGACGTTTGTCAATTCTGACGGTCATGAATTTGAAAAATCTGAAAAAAAAAACTACTTTGTTTTTTTGTTGTAACTCGTTTATTTCATAATGTTCGTGCCTGCGACAGCTTCTCATCAAAATTACCAATTTTTTGAATTCTTGCGAAACGCGAATACCTATTGCTTTGCTTTTTCATGGTCGCTGAATTTCTTTCATCCTGTATATGAGCAATCAGGAATGTACTTTATTAATACTTTGTACGTATGATAACTTAATTTTTATTATTAAATATTGCAATAAATAAATAAATTATAGACCTAAACGAAAAAGTGACTTTCTCAGGGCTGAACGGAAAAATCACTGTAGTGCCATTTTACACATAATTATTTTAATGAAAGTGTAGTTTCGTCTTGTTTTGCGCTTTTATTTGACGGTGAAGCGTCCTATACTGGAAAAAATTAAAAATGATTCTTATCCAGCCGTTTTTCAAGTGACTAAAATGACTAAAATATAATTTTATTGCCTATCCATTTTTCAATTGCATTCATTCATTTTGCATTTTGTATTTTGCAAAATAAATGCTTGCTTTCTGTTTTTTTAAAAGAATTTATGCATTCCCAATCTCGTATATTTTGCTAGTCCTCTATAATCCAATTCTATGGAAAAATCAAAATCATTTAGGGATATGGTGGGACGGAAGAGGGAAGCAATTCATATGGTTTATGACGTCAATCTAATTATTTAAATTCTTCAAAGCTAACGTAAAGTTTTAAAAATGATCAATTATTCATATACCTTATTCCTTACGAATGCTGCATATCATGGAGATTCTGGTTTGTAAGAATTGAACTGAACTAAATTGGGAAGCCACAAAGGTCATTTGGGCTGCTGCCTATCTCCCTTAACTATTAGCTGCAATAAATTCTTTCTATTCTTAATGATTTCTTTTGTCTTTTCAAATCCGATGAAACATTTCCACTTGGTAAGTTAGGATATTTTCGAATACCTCCAGCTTTTTCGTTAGTGTTTCTGTCAGTGTCCATGCTTCCATTCCCTATAACTCTATGCGAAATATATGTAGAGCGCTTGGTTGGTCTTGTTTTTACTGTGTGAGTGGGTTGTTCATGTTGTTGGATATCGCCTTGACTTTTTCCATTCTAGTACGTATTTCGACTGTTTGATTTGATTTTGAGTTGACGGTTGTTCCCAGGTATGCGTATAAGCACACATGCTGAATTAACTGATTATTTATTATCAACTGAGCAGAAGATGTTATAATTTATCCATGCTGCTAACAAACTCGACAATTATGAAGTATAACTATCTAAATTTAGTTTTGGTTCGATTAAGAGGGGTGTGACATAAAAACATTTTTCAAACATTTTTATAACAATCTTTTAATGAAAATAAATAGATAAAGACGAGAAGCAAGCAGCTTCAATAAAGAACAACGCTTTTCTAGAGAACATGCAATACAGCAAACGCATTGAAATGTGTATGTTTAACCAATCGAAATCAAAAATCAAACGACAGAAAAGAAAATATTTTCTTTGTGGATATATCTACTGCGTACATATACATAGATATTTTAACAACCTAACCTGTTTTCGCAATATATTGAAGAGCAAATTAAAGAAAAACAGTGTCACAGTCAGTGGCAAGATAAGATAAAGTAAGAGCAACAATTCAAAAACCGAAAAGCCGCGTCCAATAACAATATGTTAATACGTTAGGGAACCATTTATTCGGACGTTCGTATTCAAATGATTTTAACTTCGCGGGATGAGTAAAAATGGCCTACGATTTTGCTACTGACACCGAATAAGTTTTTAAGGAACAGTTGAATAAGTTTATAAAATTATTATATTGCCAGCTGGCCTTTTTTAATTATTTTTACAATAATTTTATTTAATTCATTATTGCACTATGACATTCAAAAGATTGTTTTGTAAATGTTTTAAAATAAAATTAATGAAAAATATAAGTTATTTGTACAATTTAAAACCAAATCGCAGAAATATGTATATTAATGTTAATATTGCTACATGCTACTACGATTGTCAGCAAATCTAGAAAGTTCAATTAAGAAGAGTCCAGTGACGCCATTGTAAGCGTCCTATTTCCTTCTCGCGTTATTGCGTTGTTTATCGTGTAGGTGAAACAGTGGTGGCACTTATTTCAATTACCTATGTTTTATCGTTCAATGCGTTTGGCGCAAATAATATTATTTCATTAAAATTCCTTACCTTAACAAAGGTACTGCAACCAAAATGAAAATAATAGTCTATAAAAATGAACGAAATATAAGCACCCATAAAATACAGGCACGAGACGAAAACAACCTGAACGCCAATGGCGATTGCCGTTTCAAATTCGTCTTCTGCGCATCTGACGTCACTGGGCTCTCCTCTATTGAGAGGGATTCTAGTAATTAACTATGAATAAGACAACTAAGTGAAAAAGAATAAACATTGTTACGACAATGACTAAACATTGCATAGTTCGAATTTAGTGTTCTTTTGGTGTCTCTTTTATTTTTAATTCAGTGTAGCGAATGGTATATGTGCTATTTCTAAGTTTGATTCCTCGTTTCCTATTTAATAGCAATCACTTATTTGGGCAATCAAATATTGCCCAAATTACTAACCGGTTATGGAAATTAGATAAATTACGCAAAAATATTTAAATATTCAGTTTTATAAATAAGGTTTTAAATTGCGTAATTGATATTTATACATTAATATATCAGTCACGACTAATATTGTAGTACAATAGTAATTTATCTGGAACAACTAACAAGCACCATATTTTCAACAATAATACCACTAGAAGTCAAATTATATCGAGATATTTTCTCGATCGAAAATTATCGCAACCGATTTCGAATAACTTTCGGTAATAGAATTTAGCAAAAAAAAAGGTTTGTCTACAATCATAAGCAAAGTTCCATTAGTGGCATCTCCACCGTTGTCAAAACCATTAAGACAGCATACCGTTAATAGTATGTTATTCAACAACCTTCATAAACACCATTTTACTCACGAGATTCATTAAACGATTCCGTTTTGGATAAATATTTACAAAACAGCACGACTCGATGACGTGTAACGTGACCGTCAGAAACGAAGCGGCTTGTGACCGTGACTAACAAAGCTGATGTCTTAAAGTGGCACTTTACGCATAATCTACACTATCGCAACGTAAGTAGATATTAACATTGATTTTTAAATAGTGTAATATGAATACATTTTTAATGAAATATAAATAGAGAATTACAATTCAATAATTGTAATTTGACTAAACAAAAGGACTATACGTATACATACGGCCTGCAAGGCAGTATCGTGGGCCTTACGGGGGAGTGGTGGAGTCGACCAGAATATGCGGCTGCAGCAGCGTGTTTCGGCAGTCAGTGTTACAACAAGGACAAAGATTATTAAATCAGGATTAGCGGTGTGTTTTCGACTGGTCCGGGATGTTTTTTATAAGAAAAACAAGCACTGATTTGTTGACCGTCGGGGGCCGCTGCAGGAATGTCCGAGAGTGTGAATACGAATTAACCAACTTAAAGCTCCAGATGCAGAACGAGTTCGATTATAAAACGCCGTTTTTATAACCACGTGGTACCCATTTTGGGGCAATGAAAAAGTTAGTTTAATGTGGACGGGGAGACTTCTTCGGTAGCATGGATCGAGTAGCGTTCCGATGTTTCATACGTGACGGCTTTTTATTAATATGCTAATTAAGGATCCGAACAGAATGCGTTTCTAAACTGACCGCTTAATTTGAAAATATCGCTTTACCGCATCCTAAGGAGAAACCATTCCAACTAGACATTTCATTGGGATTGCCTTCAATATTTAGGTTCTAATGCTTCTATTTACTTCAAAAAAAGTCCGATATATTTGTCACATGTTTGGGAGCAACCAGATAGATGTTTTCAGTTTGGTTTAGCCATGGTATTTTGATGTTTGTCAGTTTGTCACTCAGTAAATGTATTCGTGCTGTTTTGTAAAAACTTACAAGAAATTAATGGTCGTGGAAAAGTTGCATATGCATTTTTTTGCTGTCACAAAATATACGTCTTTTATCTAGAATGCAGACTACTAGCACTTGTTAACACAGGTGAGCCAAAATTATTGTCTGAGCTTTTGAGCTACTTTGAAAAATATCTTTCTTTTATTACGAATTATTTTTCTTTAATCTGTTATCTTAATATTAGCTTATAAAATGTATGTTTTTATATTATCTTAGTTTTATGTGGTCCTGATATGTCGCTGCATTTAAAAAATATCTCATAACATTGTTAAAGTGTTTAAGATTTAAAAAAATGGATACTTAGATTTTTTGAACCGTCATCGGCTATAAACTAAGAATCAATTATCATTTTAATTTTACTTGGCAAGAACTTTAACTGAAATTAGTAAGGCGTACGCAAAGTGTCAGTTGAACTTCTAGTGTAATCGATATTTTAATCAGAATAGGGATGTCCAGCCAGAAATCATTAATCAGTAATCACCGACATCTGCCACATCAAAGACTAAACAAAACTAACCAACTCTACCCAAAAAAAATGGAGAAAATAAATTTTATATAATTTCTATTCGAAGCCACATAAAAATTCAGGCCAGACGATTCTTCGGTATTTTAAGGTTTTTTAGTTGTAGTGGTCACGTGACACGTCAGTATTCTTGCTTTTAGCAAAATGTACTCAAAATCTAAAAACTAGAGTATGTAGTATAGTAAACCGTAAACGTTTTAAACTAGTGGTATATGTAAACCGTAAACTTATTTTTCTACTCCCTTCCGTACACACCCATCTAGCGTACGGGAAGCGTCACTTCAGTTTCGTTTCCCACGGAACCGAGCCACTTCGTACATTTCCCGGATTTTACCGCACGGATTTGGGAGCAATCGGATGTTTTCGGAGATATCTCCCACTCCTTGAAATTTGACGTTCTTCAATTCTGACGGCCATGTCAGTGAATGTATTCGTGTTGTTTTGCGAAAATGTGGCCAAAAACTAACGGTCGTAGAAAAAGTATATTATGCAACAGGTTCGGTAAACTTTTTAAGTCGCTCATTTATTAAGCACTCGCTCCGCTACGCTCCGCTCGTGTCAAATAAACTCGTGAGTCAAATGCCGTTTACCGCACTTGTTGCATAATATACTATTTTTGAACACTCACTCCGCTCGAGACTAGGCAAACTCGTAACTAAAATGTCGTTTATAAAATTTATGCAAATCAACTTGGCACATTTCGAATTAAAAGCCTGACTCTACTAGTCACATTTGGTGGCACGTGATTTACGTATTTGATAAATTCCAGCCTGATACTTTAATACGTAATTATTGACGGCAAAGTCAGAATTATTGAAAATGTAAACAAAGCACCTAATCATTAACATAAACAACGCAAATATTTCGTATATATGAAAATGCGCTCATCACCCATATTATCTACTACAACGTTTTAACCGCTTAATTGATTGACGCACATGTTTTGCATTCCAGGTCGTTAGTTCAATGGACGCCATGAAATACTCAATGGAGGCTGACAAATACCGCTCGCCGTACATGCCTCCCTCCACTCTAACAATGTCGATGTATTCGGACCCAAAGTACATGGACACTTCCTCCAAAAGTTATCTCGAAAGGGGATACCTAGACTCGACATCGGCCCTAACCAAAGCATATTTCGAATCGTCCAAAATGTACATGGACGGCAAATACAACACCGAATCTTCCCGTCCTTATCCTTCTTTGGACATTAGCAAAATGTACGCGGATTCCAACAACCCGAGTAACAATATGCAACAGCAGATGTCGTCGGGAATTACTGGCCTCGGATCGCCGAGATCGTCCGAATCTCCAGACAAACCCAGTCAGGAAAGGCTGGACGCTGCTTCGTCGTCCAGTTCCACTACAACATCTTCAGCTGGCGCCTCACCCGGTGGTTTACCGGGATATTATCCGGGGGCCGCTATTCAACAGGGTAATTCGGTACCGGCAATACTGCCGATGGCCCAGTATCCCAGCCAGTATCCGTCGCAGGCCCCTGGTAGTGAGTTCCGAAGGCCTCTTACTGTAATATTTTGACCAGATAACTTGTGAATGTGATTAGTGATATCTGTAGGTGCGTATTGTAATATTTTGGTGTTAAAAGCTCTTAAGGTAAGATCTTTTATAGCGATTTGTTCCAGTTGGTATCGACATGGTACTGACAATTTTTGTTCCTCCCCACCACCCACTATTTTCGGATTGTCGGATTGTAATTTGTGCGGAAATCTTACCAAAAGCTTCCCTCATTAACTGAAACATTATGATATCATTATTTTTGATTCGGTCATTCGGGATTTGGGAACAAACATTGTGAGTTCGTTGTCCACAAATTTTTGCTGAATGCATTATTGTAATATAAACGAACGTATAATCGGTTCCTTTTATATTCCGAGAATAAGCTGGAATGTTGCAGCTATCAAATTACATTTTCATCGTCGAATTCGTCACCCAACGGAAAATTCTTGACGTGCCATTTTATGAAAAATAATTTACGATTTTACTTATGGAGCCATATAATATTATCGATGCTTCTGGAGAAGTTTATGTATGTTGTTGAGTTTAATAAGTCTGTGAAATTCTCAGATCACTTGTCTGGTGATTTTTTCTTACAATATCAAAACGCTATTTTCATTTTCCTAGTGAAGCTTAGCGACTGGTCAATAATGTTCAAAAGTAAAGCTACATTGGTGTATTGCGATACTAGATAGGATATTCGCCTTCTGGTAACGCATGAACTTACTAATGGAAGTGTTAACAACTGCCTTCGAAGGATATGACCTTACACACTGTTTATTTTATTCGAAGTACTCTTGGGAAACGAATACCTACGTAGACGACCCGCCATAGAATCGTTTTGTAAAAAATGTAGATATGTTTATTTTGTAAATAATATAAGATTCGTGTTTAGCGAATGCAGTTAGGAAATTAGTGTTTAAACGACGTTGTTTTTTGCGCTCCAACGCTTCACTTTGTTGTTATAGACTGTAAAAAATTTTATTTCCCTCGGAGTATTTGTTTTCGTTCCTACCCTCTCCTGTAAACAAATAGCCAATAACTTATACTTAAAGTATTGTGTATATCTTGTTATATTTATCGACACGTATTAGAAAAAGACTTAACATAATCGGATAAAATGTCAAAAACAAGTTAATGAATAAAAATAAAACTAGTGTGTGATTGTTCAATCGGTTGTTTCAATCGTTTCCCGTGAAAAAGTCATTTGGAGGTGAACATGTGCTGCGCAAAAGCGGCAATGACTTGGCAAACGCGCAGGCCCCTTCGTCGACACTAAGTTCGCATCCGAAACAAAGAAACATCAATTAACACCGGGTGGGATTTGGAAAATACGATTTCGCCCCCCCAAGTGCGTGTGATTGTTTCCTTATGAGGTACCCGTGTCTCAGTGGCGTGGCGTTGATTTTTTGAATTGGACAATATTTTTTCAATCGTCACTCATCGATGCTTATTGCTTTATGTTTTTTATATGTGAAAGTAAAAATTAGAAAATAAAAATTGCATTTCTCTATTTTCTTTTCTACAAGTTTAGATTAGAAAAAAACTATTTTCTCAACATTTCCTTGACCTTCAGCAATTTGATTAATTCTGCTCATATTTTTAACCGGGAGAATGTCTTAGTTTCTTAAATGTATGGTTTATTATTTTAACATTATCTGGCAATTCACCTGGTACTTCCATTTTATCGAGTGCTGCCTGCCTGAGGATTATAGATAGAAAAATCGCAAACTTTGCAAAAAAAATTTCCTTTAAAGTAAATTTTCACCTATTGTGTAGGATCTGTTCTATAGTTATGCTCAAGTAAATTTTGTAGTAGAAAATTAATTTTCCTATGATGAACTTTTTTCTGAAATTACTTGACTAGTGTTAATCAGTTTAATTTATTATAAGCCACCCATAGAAGATCCAGATTCTCAAAAATCAAACAGCATTCTTCTTCTTCATGAGTGACGTCTTCTTCCTACACTTCTTTTTCCCCTCATGCCATGTCCTAAGTATTGCAGTTTGCGTTACTTTATTGTAATAATATTTTCTTTCTCTTTTCTTATTCTTCTAATGATTTCCTTGTTCGTCACTCTATCCATCCGTTTTACCCTTAGCATTTTGCGGTATATCCAAATGTCATTAGTTTTCTCATGTCCAATACCTCCGGAGTCTATGCCTCCGCACCGAGGACACATAGAATCTCACTAACCCCATTTTTAAATCCAAGCTGAGGTGGCTACAACAAAACAATCTTTTCATTTTCATAAACGTTGTTCTTGCCAGGCCTATTTGGGTTTTGATTTCTACAGAACAGTTATAATTGTGCCTAAGTATTTATAACTGTCAACTTTTTCTATGTGTTGATTGTTTCAAGGAATTTGATGGTTGTTTTGTGCTGTTTTAGATATTATCATGAATTTTGTCTTCTTTACATTATTAGCCAACAGGACAGTATCATCTCCTTATCTTATGTTGTTGGTGGGCACTCCGTTAATTACCCTTCGTCTCATCTTCTAATGCTCGTTTCATTATTTACTCTGAGTAAAGGTTAAATTGCATCAGAGATAGCACGCATCCCTGTCTCACACCTCTGCGGATTTCTGTTTATTTTGGACTACTTCCATCCATTTTCATCATCGCTCTCTTATTGAAGATTTTTATATCTCTGGTATCTAAATTCTTTTCTTTAAGAATTCTTATCAGTTGTTCGTGTCGAACCTTGTCGAAAGCTTTGTTGTAATCAACGAAGCAGACATAGAGTTGTTGATTCCTATCCACGCACCGTTGGACAATAACGTTCAGGGCAAAAAGTGTTTCTCTTGTTCCTAAATCGTCACAAAAGCCGAATTGAGTCTCGCTAATTTTTTGTTCTAATTTTGTGTATATGCTGTTATGTATCAGCTTCAGACATATTTTTAATGTGTGACACATGAGACTGGTTGTTCAGAAGTCACGCATTATGTTTTTTTCGAATAGGAATGAACCGCTATCTGGGTAAAATAGCTGTCTTGTATATGTTGTTATGTAGATCTGTTAGGTTATGTATGTTTTCCTGTCCTATCAACTTAATAATTTCAGTGGGTAACTTATCCGACCCTGCAGCTTTTCCATTTTTTATGGTCTTTGTAGCATGGATGAGCTCTTCTTTAGTTATTTCTATTCCTAATTACGTTTATCTTTCTCGATCTTTGTTAATCCGTCAGCCGACCACCAACACTTCAGTTTACTGTTCGACAAAAGATAAAAAGTAACTAACGAAATATGTGCATGCCTTGTATATTAAAAGCAGCAAAAAGCATTTTATATTATGCAAATATGCAACTAGTATGCTAAACGCCATTTTAGACAATAGTTCGATTTGAGCTAATTGGAGTGCAAGAGAGGGAGTGTTTGATATTCGAGTGTCTGAAAAACTTTGTCAACGCGTTGCATATTACACTTTTTCTACGAGCAATAGTTTTTATGCACATATTTGCAAAGCAGCACACATACGTTATTTCAGTGACGTGTGATGTGAAGCGTCAGAAAGAGTAGCTAAAATCTACCGTAAACGTCCGATCGGTCTCACACCCGTGACTAAAGTATCGGAAATGGCCGAAGTGGTACGCGACGATGGGTAGCGAAGCTAACGTCTTAAAATAAAACTTTTCGAGTAGAAAAACAATTATTAATGCAGTTTTGGAAACACAAATGGTAAATATTGTAGTCCCTAATGGGCTATTCTACTATGCGAGTCCAGTCTCCAGATTAGTAAAATTTTGGGCTGTTTAATTGACTGGAACCACTTTTTTCCCTTCCAAGTGGTATCTACTTTTGACATTAAGGTTATTCGTCTATCTCTTTTTGTGGGCACAAAAATTTCTGAAGCCTACGCATATGGTCTTAATAAAAATATCGCCATACAATCGGGTCGAGATTAAAAATCACTTCATCACCGTAAATTCGTTAATAGACTATTAAGCTGAGATCCCGTTTTGATGGCGAAAACAATTCACTCGATAAGGGTTCGGTAGCGGTAAAGTTTTCGGACAATGGCCGCACACACTGCGCCCAATTCGGATTGAATTGAATCCTGAATCGCCGCCAATCAATGACTCCACACTTCGCGTTATTGTCTGTTGTAATTGTTGCCTCTGGAGTAGTTGCTGAGAGCCCCAGGTGGTAAAAGGCCACTTTGCACGTGTCGAACACCACCACCCTGGAGCGCGGTGTGCGCGCTGGGTTTAAGGGTGAATCGATTAAACTTAATATTTCCCCCGTGTTTCGATGAAACTATGGGCATAATCCGGTTGTACGTTATAAGCCCATTGCCGAATATTAATTTCGCATACAAATCCGTATGTGTGGGATAATATCTTCGAATTATTATAAAAGTCAGCAGGTATAGAACGAGGGCTACCTTTTATATTTCGGGATTAGTAATAAAAAACTATAAGCTATCAAGAAATATGACTTCACTGTTTTTCAAAATACTTTTGCATTCAATAAAACCAATCATCAAAGCACTTATCCCACATCGATTCGGGCACCTCCAAAACATGCTTTTTAAACACATCAATCCCTTCTTCTGGTGTCAAAAATCGTTGTCCACGTATGGACTATATGGTGGATGGCTCATCAAATCAACGTTTTTAATGCTCAAAAAGTTCTTTGTTTGAACTGATCGGCGACAGCTAGCATTGTTGTCACGGAGAGTGATTCGACTTCGACGGTTGATTTTTCTAATTTCTTCGAAGGTTTTCGGAAAACAAAGGGTTGGGTACCATTCAGAATTGACTGTTTTACCTTTCACCTAAGAAATAGTCGCAACGTGGCCAGTTTTCCTGAGAAAACAGTCTACAACAACTTTTGTGAGCTTCATCTCATTCTGAAAGACCCACACAGGCAAATGTTGCTTAGTTTCAGGTTCATATGCATAGATCCATGATACATCAACTATCAACTGTCTCGATATCATAGACGTGTTTGGAACCACTGCGATAGTATTTTTTTAGCATTTTCTTCGGCCAATCAACACGAGCCTTTTTTGTTGTGTGGAATCGAACGCGAAAATTTTTTTTAGCCAAATGTTCACGCAAAATTGTATGTATGCTCGTCCCACTGATGGCCAAAGGTACCTCAATCTCATGGTAAGTCACATGACGATCCTGCAAATGCAAAATCCACACTGCATCAAAATATCAAAACTTCCTATACAAACGTTAGTCGCCAGATGGTAGGACTAGTTTAAGAAAATCCCGAAATATAAAAGGCAGCCCTCGTATAATTTGTTATCCAACAAATTTGATAAACATCATTTTAGTCACGAATCACGCAAATGAAACGCTTGATATTCTTTTTCTACCAATATTAGTTTTGCTTAGTTTGCAAACCCGTCACTCGTGTACTGGGAATAGTCTACTTTATACTTTAGTCACGGATTTCGAAATGATCCGATGTTTTCGGTATATTTTAGCCAGTCATTTTGACGTTTGTCAATCCCGACGATCACATTTAACAAAAATCTAGATAAATCTCGGCTAGAAGAAACTGTATTTTTCTCTATTTATTTCTTTGTTTATTACCTACTAGTTTTTGATGAAGCATTCGCCAGTTACTTTTCATTGGATAAGAAATTACTTAGATAGAACAACTAGAACAACTAGAACGTGTCTTGCACAAGAATCTGAAACAATGGCTTTAATGTATCCAATTTTCGGAATTTAAACAACACACAATCATGAATTTGGTTTTATTTTTATTTATGCTAAAATTAAATTAAACTTTATCGCTTATTTTGAAAAGAACTCCGATTTTTTTTTCGACTAATACCTCCTAATTGCCTCCTAATTGCTCCTAATGACCTTGTGATACTTCTTGTTTGGAATTAATAACTAGTAAGCTATTGCAAGGAATAATAATCAGAGGCATAATATTTTTTTTGGCTACCATTTTCCAAAACAATTGATAAACATTGTTTTTACAAACTCTATCACAACGAAATTATAACTACATGCAGATATTACTAAAAACAAGACCAGTTCGAAGAATATAAATCTTAAATCCTATACTTAAAAGCAATTAACTCCATACCAAGTAACGAACCTATTTCACCATCAATATCTGAAAAATTAACATTTGCTT